CAACTTCTTAAAATTTCTCAGATTACATTCAATGGACTTAGTGAAAATATCCGGAAAAGAGGATTCGAAAATAAACACGTATCTTTTCCGAGCATGCGTTCCGTACGAGAATTTCCACTTTCAGCTTTCATTGGTTTATTTTCTGCTTTCAACCACAATTGTGATACTGTGGGCATTCGATCGGATGCCCGGCTATGCAGGCGTTAAAGTGCTACGTAAGTGTGTGCTTGTTTTTTGTGGATGTCATGTGGCTGTAATCTACTTATATCAAATGCCAACAATGCGAAGTTTTTGCAACCCTCAATCAACGATCGCAAGGTTTGCTGTCTACTGTAAATTTTCGCTACCAATTGCTCTCTTGTAGAGAGTATCAAATGAACACAATTCAGCGCTTTTTAAGTTTCGATTCTAATTTTACAATCACTTTGTAACGAGCCAATTTCAGTTCATTATTTAAATTGTCAAAGTGCTTCAATAACTGAGATAGACATGCACAGACTTTGAGGGATTATTTGTTGAACAAACTTCAATTGATTTGAACAGTTAAATGCCAGATAGTTTATATAACATATGTAATAATGATCAACTCTCCAAGTAATAGTGATCAAATATGTCAAGAATCGAACTGAATTCAGACTTCAGAATGCATCACATTTCAGGATATTTGGACTGGTTTATTTGAAAGTGTCCGAATGTGATCCAAAACCGCTTGTTCGCGTTACACCATATTGGCCAATTCCACAGATACTCTCACCGTTCATATTTGTGTTGCTTTATCTATTAATCGCTATTCAACTTCGCGTTCTCAAGGTTCGTTTCATATCGTATCTTCGCTCAATCAACAACACTGGCTTGTCCAAACAAAAAACAACTCTAATTGACAACATCAATCAGAGTCAGTTGTTGCGAAAATCGCTGACCTTTTGCACCATTTGTATTCAGTTATTGTTTATGAGAATCATAACATCATCATTGGCACATCAAATGTGACGATACATTCACTCGAGTTTTTTCCTGTTCACTGCAATATCATAAATCACACCGAATCAATCGTATTGGCGAATGAAAATTGTTTCGCCTAGTACAAAAATAAGCATTTATATGCTGGCTTCTGATCAATATATCACCATTTTTATGCGCAATTCGGTTCCGTCGCCAACATTTTGAACCGTATGCAAGAAGACTGTTTCCACCAGTAACAAATCGGCAAATCTGCCCTAAATTCGAACAGTCATCTTTGATTGATTCAAATAGGAGTACGAAAATGTCAGTGTTCTCGAGCGGTGAAACTTTTAGGATCCTAAAGAGTCGTCGGATCGAGCGATGCGATCTCCACGAGAAAAAACCCTCCTTTTTGCGCCAACTCAAGTGCATGCCCTAGAAACGGTACGTGATAAGGTGAAACTGGTTTTTATTTTGCATTTTTCTTTGCTGTGAACTTACGCAATCCGAGCGCATTTGTACTCATTCACTAACATTCCAATCGAATGAGCAATCGACTGATTCGAAGTGGATCGCCATTGTGGAACTGAGAACTGAAAATAAACGATCTCCTCGCAGTGCTGCATGAAATTGATACATATTCAAAAAAACCTGTGAATAATTTGAAATTCTCAAACGCACGTCAAATCATTTCTCGTCTCATTTTTCAACAGCTTTTGAAATCGATCACCAATACCTTACGAAATCTAGAATTCTTGTGACGTATGGCTATGTATAACTACTGCATTCTCTCGAGTGAGAACTTTATAGCGAAAATTTTCGCTCTTTTTGCGCTTTGATTCTACAAAAACTAAAAGAATTTCAAAATACTAATGCATCGAGCTGGTTGTTACAGTAACTACTCGTTAG